AAATGATTGTGGAAACAAGAAAAAAATCTTTACATTTGACAAAGTGGGAAGGTGATGATTTAAAGCTTAGTTGTGGTTAGCTGCAATAAAATTAGCAGAGGCATTTTTCTCAGGTAGGTAAGTGTATTATTCACAAAGACTTAATGAATTAACTGAAAAACAGAAAATCCTGTGAATGTGGTTGTATTGTGTGTGAATCTAACCACCTCATATATATATATATATATATATATATATATATATATATATATATATATATATATATATATATATATATAACCTCGCCTGGTTAATTAGTTCACTAGTTACTAGTCGGTCCTAAGCTTGGGTAAAAAGGGAAGGTTGGGCATAGGGCTAGCAACCCTACCCCCTAAAACAAATCTAACCGCTAAAGAAACTCCAAAGCACAAGCAAAATATAAAAAATAAAAACAAACTTATTCCTCACTGGAATCAGAAGGGCGAAATGACGCCAGTTGGTGAAAGCCTTTGGGAAGCCAATTGGCCGATGTGTCTTCTCTCTCTCTCTCTCAATGAAAGCAAAAGTAAACATGGAGACATGAAATGTCAGAATAATGTTTGAAGCTGGCTGGCTGGCAAGGCTGTCCAGATCGCAAAGAAGATGAGAAGGTACAGCACTGAAGTGCTAGGAATTCGCGAAAGCAGGTGGAATGGAAGTGGACTCTCCAAACTGTCAACTGGACAGTCAATAATCTACTCCGATATTGTCCCCCAGACGACAACCACGAGCACACTGAGTTTCAGAGTGGCTATCATCATATACCCAACAGCATCGAAGGCTCTCATGCAGTGGGAACCAATCTCCTCCAGGATCATGACAGCGAGGTTCAACTCAAAAGGAAGGAAGGTCACAATCATACAATGCAACGCTGTGCACCTACAAATAATGCAGATGAAGAGAAGAAGGAGGAATTCTACAGACAACTGCAATCAACACTGGACAAGATCCCACCTCAGTTGGCGAAATCAAAATTCTAATGGGCGACATGAATGCCAAACTGGGAGGGGACAATACAGGAAGAGAACTAACCATGGGTCGAGAAACGCTCGGTGAGGTGATGAACGAGAATGGAGAATTGTTTGCAGAATTCTGTGCATTCAACGATTTGGTGATTGGAGGCGAGGCAGTGTGTTCAAGCACAAAGATATCCACAAAGCGACATGGATTTCACCAGATGGACACACTAAAAATCAAATCGACTTCATCTCAATCTCAAGAAAGTGGAGACGCAGTCTACTCGACACAAGGTGAAGAAGAGGAGCAGATGTAGGTTCAGACCACTATCTAGTGCAAGGAACCTTCCAAATCAAGTTAAAAGCCTTCAAGGAAGCTGGTGATAGACCTCAGTTCAAGTACAACACTCGGAAACTGAAGGATGGAACTACTAAGGAAATCTTCAAGGCAGCCATCAAGACAAAATGGGAGATATCGAGCAACATCCCTGAAGAAACCTGTGTGGAAGAACACTGGAAGTCTTTGGAAGAGATTTGGAAAGAAACCTGCACATCCGTATTAGGAAGGAAGAAGAAAGAAGACAAGGAATGGATCTCAATGGATACATGGAAGCTGAAAGAGCAGGGAGAGGAGGAAGGTGAAGCAGAAGATAAACCAGTGCAAGGATGCTCAACGACAAGAGGAACTGAGCACAATGTATAAAACACTACACTGGACAAAGAAGTGAAGAAGAGTACACGCAAAGACAAAAGACACTTCTGTGATACACTGGCAAGTGAAGCAGAACAGGCTGCAGGTAAGAGAGACCTGACGACATTGTATCAAATAACCAGGTTGCTATCAGGGAAGAGACTAACACAGATGAAACTGATAAAAGATGATGAAGGAAATTTAATTACAAAAGAAGAGAAACAAAGGAAACAATGGGCCGACCACTTCAAGAAGCTCCTGAATCGACCACCACCACCACCTGCACTTAGTCCAGAAATACCACCTACAACCGCTGAACTACAAGTGGACATAAATCCTCAAACAAAAATGGAAGTCCTGAACGCCATAAAGCTACTGAAATGCGGGAAAGCAGCAGGACCAGATGGAATCCCACCAGAAGTACTGAAAACAGACGCAGAGACAACAGCGGACATGCTCACACCACACCACTATTGCAGAAGGTGTGGAAGGAAGAGAAGGTACCTGGCTAGTGATTGGAAGAAGGGTTACCTTGTCAAACTACCGAAGAAGGGAGACCTCAGTGTTTGCAAGAACTGGTGCGGAATCACTCTCCTGTCCACCCAAAGCAAGCAAAATATAAAGCCGCATCATCCTGGAGAGGCTTAAAGACGCACTGGATTCAAAACTGCGACCCGAACAGGCTGGCTGGCTGGATTCAGGAAGTACAAATCATGTGCAGGCCAAATTGCAATGCTACACTACGCATCATCATAGAACAGAATACAGAACGGCAGTCAACTCTACACCTCAACTTCATCGAATTTGAGAAGGCCTTTGACAGCGTCGACCGAGAGGTAATTTGGAAGCTGCTTCAACACTACGGAATACCGCAAACCTTTATCAGCCTCATTCAACAACTATATGAAGACGCCACATGCCAAATAATTCACAGTGGGAAGCTCAGTGATGCTTTTGAAGTGAAGACAGGAATGAAACAAGGTTGCCTACTATCCCCTATGATATTCCTGGTTGTGGTCGACTGGATCATGCAGCTGACAACTGTGGGGAGCGAGGAGAGGGGATACACTGGACTGCGGAAAAGAACCTAGAAGATCTGGATTTCGCCGATGACTTGTGCCTGATGTCACACAAACTTGAAGATCTACAGGTGAAAACTAACATGTTGGCAGAAGAGGCAGGGCAGCGAAGACGGGACTTCAAGATGATGTAAATATTAAAGATGAATCGTGGAGATGCATTTCATCTTATTTGATAGTCGTCAGCTGAATGTATTTGCATCTCGGTGAGTGGTGGATTCTACTGCTAGCCACTTTTCATTCATAATGTCAAAATCAAATTATCCGCTATGTGGAAACATCAACAGCGAAGCTCATATGCTAACAGAGATCGATCAATTCGGCCCAAACTAATTCACAACTGGAAGTAAGAAGTGCCTATATGAAAACTTTGAACAGTTTGAAAAAATAGCCCTTAGAGCTTTAAACACTTCTTGTTGTCTATCTATAAACAAACTTAAATATCGTGGTACAATTAGTGCCTTTCCATTTTCATGATGCTAAAATACTTTCTACTCAGAGATGTATTCGAAAGTGAATTTTAAGTATCTTAAAGGTGTAGTGAATTGACGTCTTCCTCGTCAACCAATAATGACTACTAGTTTTCCAGTCGTTTTGTTGATTTATAGCCACTGATAAATACAGAACTAGCTTTTTTGTGAACTGAAGGTTTTCAAGAATGCTATTTATGGAGTCAAAGCACAATAGTTATTTACGATATGAATTCATATTGATTCGAAGATTCTCTTCACTTAGAAATAATTATGATAAATTAAAGTAGAATAGTATCGGCAGTATACATCTTCAATCATTCGTTCAGTGCTCTAATAATGGTGACAACACTACGAGAGGGGTAAAAGCTACTTTTCTCATGTATAACTGCTTAATTTAGTAATCGAAATAGCTGTATAAATATCGTTTTGTGAAAGGATGGTTTGATTATGACGTTTACTTTGATTTCGACTATGAAGCACTTTAGCTTCTTCTATCAACTAGAACACTTAAAACCAAGAGGTAGGATCTAATTGACATCATCAACTGTTTCAAGATTGCGACCATTCGGTCACATTGAAATCAATCTGTCAAATCAAAACTGCCAAGATTGTTCAATCACCAATTCACTTAGTCATATTTGTAAAGTGTCATAGCAAATTTGCCACTAATATCACTATTAGGGTTCTTATCTTCATTTTAAAGTGTAAATAAAGCATTTAAACTTATGAAATATAATCTTTCTACTTCAGCTAGGGGAAACAGTTTCACTATAAATACTTTTTGTACTTTCGTTAGACTGATAGCTTATCGATGTTACATCTAAGTGATTACAATGCACAAGGGAGGGTTGACTGTTCCTCTTTATCGGTTGTCGCATATAATAGTGTTGAGTTTCTCCACCCTCAGTACAGAACCTAGTGTTCACTAGGTTCATCTTTCAGGAACTTTATTTTTGGTCAGGATTTAGGTTTTCGCTTAATTTATTTTAATCAGTGGACTTGTGTTTACTAAAACCTACAAATATCTGAACAGGTGCAGATCTAAATGAAGTGGAAGAATGAAAAATAGTATTATAAGTATGACAGGAATAAACACTTATTAGCGAATACTTGATAAAATAAGCCATTTGTTTTCATGCGACAAAACTCATAAAACAAAGAAAATAATAAATGAAATTTTCCGCCTTACATTATCTTTCTGTATGCACGTGTATATATCTGTGTACTCATGCGGATAAGGTCAAAATGCCGTCACACCTGCCACACTCAGTTCACTGAGTAATAAAATTATATGTACCTTAAGAAGTTAACACTTTTCCCATTAGTGTGATTCAAGATCTTGACAGTCATGAAAAGGAATTTGCTGAAAAGCCTCTGCAGACCAACAAGTTTAAGATAATTATTTCGTTATGGATTAACAGTCCTTAGACCAGGTCTTTCAGTAGAACTGTTGCTACTGAGCATACTAAGTAAATTACAGACTATCAGCTTGACCATCTGAAATAGTGACAGTTTGGCGGATTCATATTGGTACTGAGTGATGGTCAAAGGTGAAATGAAAATTTGAACCGTGGTAGGATCGAAATCAGTGACCTCACCAATACAGACTAGCATCACTGCAGCAAGTTACTGATTTTCAGTAGAAATTTATAAATCCCAGTTTCGATACAGGCTACTGGCAAACTACTTTTCAAGTAGCAAAAAGAGTGATAAATTAACTGTTCATTCGTTCAGTGCTCTAATAATGGTGACAACACTACGAGAGGGGTAAAAGCTACTTTTCTCATGTATAACTGCTTAATTTAGTAATCGAAATAGCTGTATAAATATCGTTTTGTGAAAGGATGGTTTGATTATGACGTTTACTTTGATTTCGACTATGAAGCAAGTGATGATCTGAAAATTCACAGAAATGTACACAATTGCACACAGACTCTTGATTCGTAAAATAGAGAGAACTTTATGTTGGTCAATCGAAAAGTTGAACTGATTCGTGAAAACTTATACTGTGAAGCATTCGTCATTTGTTTACCTTAACGCTTACGTCTCTAAGCCATCAGAAATCTTAGAAGTTGTTCCAGATAGTAGGCCGACTCAGGTAGTGATGAAATTTTGATTTATGGTGATCCTCTCATTCAAGTAACTAACAAAAGATGTGGCCTGATATGTACAAGGTTGACAATCAAACGTATGCACTTTATAATAAGCATACTAGAACTATAATTCGTTTATATTATGCAACATGGTCATCAATTCAGTGTGGTAATTTCACCTTATTGTTTATTTATCACATGGTCCACTTATCTCACACTTTATTTTTATGGCTTCGGTGAAAACAAAATAAAACACACACTTATGGTAAAAAGTGACCGTATGTTAGTGTGAACCAAAATAGAAGGTTATACTTCAAAGTGCACAAAAAAGTGTTAAAAAAATAATCAAAGCATAACAATTTGCAGTATGTTCTGAATGAGAAAGTACACATCATATTGTAGTCATCTTGGTGACTAGCAGTGGAATCCAAGATGCACGTTTCGTCCTATTTGGGACTCGTCAGCTAGATATACTTGCACCCCAGTGAGTGATGTCGTTCTCACCTGAACTGGAACCCAGTACCTATCGCTTCAAGTAACAAAGAGTTATCCACTGGATGTTTGAAGCGATGGGTACTGCATTTGAGTGTCAGTGAGGACAATATCACACACTGGGGTGCAGACATATCTAGCTAACGAGTCTCAAGTAGGACAGAACCCGCGTCCTGAATTCTACTTTTAGTCAACAAGATGAATACAACATAATCAATATCCAGCGGTGTTGAGTCGTCCGGAAATGGGCCCATCTGCCAGCAAAGGTAGGGGAATTTGACCCTGTGTATCAACGGAGAGTAACAATTATCAACCAAAGTACACATGAGTTATGTAGTTTCAAGCTTCAGATTATTTATCAGTCAGTGTTAGTTCTAAAAAAACAATATAAGGTCAACACCTTTTGATATGAAATCAAAGGTTCTAACTACTTAATTGTTGTTTATTAGTGCGGATAATAGTAGTAGCTTTGGGGTTACATAATTCATTTCATTCCGTACAACTTCACTAAGCTTCATTATCACACAAGATACAGGCGATTTTCAGAACTGAAAGTTTAAATCACAAAAGCACATCGATTTGTGAGCGTTAAAAAGCTATCTTTTCAGAAATGTCATCCATTTAGTTCCCTTGACAAATTTGAACCCACCCCACAGCTCCAGAATTTCCCATCTCACCAGATATAAATAGTTATATATTTTGACTAAGATATGTAACTATTAATCCTGTGTTTCCTTGACTTACTACCTTATTGTTAATCCTGGATTTCAAATCTCCATTTATTTCTGCGTGTTTAAAGTTTATTTCAGTTTTAGGCTGATTGCAGCTGATGAAAGGCTTTGAAATAGAATGAGGTCATTTTATTCTGCAAATGTCTTTGTTCTTGCATTGTTCAAAAAAGCTATCTGGCACACACTGATAAAAAAAAGCCATGTATAAACGGCGGAACACTTAAATGCTCAATACAAACAATTAGAAAGCTTCCTACGTTAGGCATAATTCATGTTGATGTAAAGGCGATTTCAAATTATGATGATCCTCTTAATTAATTCAATGTATTTCACGCATTTCTATACGCACTAACTGGTTGGATACAGTTGCATGTAGCAATGTAAAATTTAGCATAGAGATTTTAAGAAAAGTATGTGTATGTAGCGATAGCAATAAAATCAATGTTCACTATTTTCGAAGGAAATGCAAATCGTCAAATTACATCGCTATCTTATATATATATATATATATATATATATATATATATATATATATATATATATATATATATATATGGACACAAATTTACTCTTGGAGTATTTCAAAACAGTTGTGACTGCTATGTACATTTCTAGCGTTTGGAAGCATAAATAAAATAGATGGCGTGTTAAATACTCATCAAAAATTTTCTGGGGGTTGCTTATCTACATCAACATTCTCGAAAACTTAAAGTTTCCCCTACTTTTCATTGATCATTGTAATCCTGATTGGAGAGTAGTACAAAATGGCCAGCAAATTATAAGAAAACCTTATGGTTCTGTCACAGATAGAAAAAAGATTAGTAAGTCACATAAAGAGATTTTGCTGTATAAAGTGGAAAACGATGGATGCATCACTAGTGGTCACCATGTTTACGGGGATAGATAGAAGGGGAATTCAGAGAGCCTAAGGGATAGAAATATTATGAATTCTGCTACAGTACATGATTTTATTCAATTAATTTATTTTTTGAGTGCGAATCACCATTTGAATAGTTCGTGATTAATTTTTTAGCTAGTTAAATTCGTTTTCAGTCAACACATTAAATGAAGTTAATATAATCAAAGTTGTATCGAATCATGAATATATTACTGAGTGTAACCTGTTGCTGTACTCAAACTATGGTAAGTAATACGCTTAATTAGCTGGGAAAACGCAAAGACAATAATTTCGGAAGGCTACTTCACTTATTTAGAGCCAGACCCATCTGACATGTGCCCGAAATAACTTAGTCTGAATAGATGAACTGTCTACATCGTCAAGTTTAGTCTGAGGTATACAAACCCTACAAACGGCATTTCCGATCTGCAAAAAGTGTTTTAACTACACTGTCTACAGTTAATACTTCTTACAACCCGCTGTTGTTCTGGTCAACTAACCATCCTGATACAAACCATCTGATACAAAACTGTCACAAGCTTATTAAGTAGACACCCAGTGAACTGAGGTGCATGGCACTTATGGCAGTCTACTGTAAATAAATTTTATGCGAATCGACGGTAAAAATGACTAGAGATGAAAATCACAATATCCATTTAATCGAATGACTTGTTGGAAAATGACTAGTTTGAAGGTAGTTTCGATCACAGGCTTTAATTAACTAAACATTAAAAAGTAGTTTTGGCATTGTGAATCATTACATTACAACACACTGACTGAATGAGAACTTGTATATACCAAGCACTGAACTCTAACTTCTGTCATAGGTGTTCACCGATGCCGATTCTGGAGATAGAAGAAGGGGATTATAGGGTGTTCCCTGTTTATGAACAGTTCACTAGTTTATTTCACTTTTTGGTGAATTGCACATTGGAATCAAGAGATGATAACCCCAGTGATTCCAGAAGAGGAACTCACTCTTATTCATTGTTGGCTTTAATGTGATAACTTGGTAAAAAAATTGAGAGTGACCATGTAAATCAGGTATCACAAGATAACTGTTTGGCTATATTTTGTGATTGGTCGCTTTACAGATTTTTGTTAATTATCCGATGCGTACTGCTAGTAGATTTAAAGAAGAATCTGATCAGGATACGAATAAACATAACTAAATTTTTCAATGACTAGTTAGGCCAGCACATAGAGTATTGTCCGGCGTTAAAATCATTTACTCGATATTTAGTCTTACTAAATCCTGATGCAATCAAAAATATCAAACATTTACCATTTGAATTTGGGGGTCTGTGGGGATTTAGTGATTTATCGAGTTGGTATTCATCAATTGGAGGAACATTGGGGACCTGCGCACCCATGGCCCCATCAGGGTGCTCATTGCTGAGAAGTCTCATGCTAGGACTAAACAACTGTCCGATGCTCCCAGGTTTCCAATGTTCCTCCAATTGATGTAAGTCTATGGTGAATACCAACTCGAGAAATTAACAATTTGTGTGCTAAACCCTAAGAACATGTACTAATTATCACTAAATTATTAGCTTTCTTCATTTTTTTTCTCTACTGAAACTATCCCAATGTAACTAATATGAAAGCCCATACATAATTCAGGTAACTAATAACAAACAGTAAACGCAAAAACTTTTGAGTCTAACAATGATTCTTGTTAACCTTAATAGAGATGACTGGTTAGAAATTACTTTGACAAAACCTTCCAATAAGTGATATCACTGAAATACTCTATTCTTATTGTAAACAGTGTTTTACCTCACAGAGAACATCCAAAAACCAGAGGGCACAAGGGATATATCTTGTTGGGCTTGAACTTACTTTAGCAGTATATACCTTTGACACCATGTGAAATCGAAACCAAAACCACCATTTCTCACTGGGAATATATTACTAGTTAACCAGTGGAACGAAATCTAATGGTTTATATGTTTTAACTTTTGTTAGTTCGCTAAGTTACAAAATTGTTGTCAAAATTCATCAGTAAATAACCATCCTTTCATGTAAATTATCTTACCTCAGAGTCCATGACTTATTTAAGTTCATGATGATTCCTGGTTTGAAATCAATAGGCTTTAGCGAACACAAATATCTAAATATTATTTTCTATCTGGAGGTTTGTGGAGGCTTGTTAATTGATTTTAGGTTGGAATTCATCATAGACGGACATCAGTAGGAATAACATCGGAAACCTGGGAGCACTGGACAGCTAGTTCGTCCTAGTGTGGGACTCCTCAGCAGTGGGCATTCATGACCCTCACCCCACCAAGGATCGAAGCCAGGACCCTCAGGTTCCGTGGCCAGCATGTTACCATTGAGCCACTGGGTCGGAATCTAATGGCCCACATTTCCTACTTCTGTCAGTTCACGATGTAGCACGACCTGTATCCAATGTCGTCGTTGAGTGACTGTCCTCATGTTCCAGGTTTCCAATGTTCCTCCAACTGATGTCAGTCCATGATGAATTCCAACCTAAGTATTTTTTTGTTCAACGAACTCATTAGGGTATCGTATAAGGTTGTAGTATGAAGCTATATCATGCAATATATTCCATATTAGATTTTTTTTATTTGATATATAGCTCGCAGTGATACAGTATTACTTACTTGATGAGGTTTCGAGGATAAATTGTTGCTCATAATCATATCAATGGATAAAGTCCTGTAACCTGATATTCTTTTTATATTGGTAGTAAAGTTTTCCATGTCTCTGCTATAGGTGTTGCGTCATTCCTGTCACATCCAATATATTTCTCGAGTGATATTACTCAGAGTATTCACTAGAAAGTAGCACATTTAGCTAAAGGCTAACAAGTAAAAAAAGGTAGTTCTAAGTAACTTAGTTACTATAGAAGCATTCATAGATCTGCTTACTGAACAGAGTGTATGATTATAAATGTCACTAGTGGGAAAGACCACCGATCAGTAATTTTTGGCTACCCTTGGCTACCCTTCTCACTGGTTAAATGAAATGGATAGTCCTCTACTACTCAACTTATATGCATTGACATACTTTGAAAAACTCCAGCGTATTTTAACCCAAAACTGCCAGCTTTTTCTGGATATTTTGTCCTTTCTACTACATATTTACAAGTGTGCAAGTAAGAATGAAATTGTCCAAACGATTATTTCTTCCTCACAATCGTTTTCTCACTTCTCTCTTATGTTCACTTGGCTTTTATGCTCGGAAAAAGGTCTCTAGTGTGAATTCAATAACCACTCAAAATAACTGCAAGCACATACACAGATGTCGGAAGAATCGAGTTTCCAAAGAATAAGGATAATTAGCTGATCACTTTATTTAAAACGGCTTCAGTAACATCGCCTGTGATGGGATTCTAAAGTTGTTTGTTGATATGCTGATCTGTTGATGAGATTGTTTTTGAAATCATTATTCAAATTTGGTCGATGAGGTAATCAGTTTTTCGGGTTGCTAAGTTCCAAGCCAGGATGACTCAGCTGATTTTTCGGTTATAAGAACTGTTGTGCTCATGATTTTATTCAGCAGGATTCAGGATCGATTATGTAACCTAAAGAAGTGAATTATTCTCTTTGAACTTTACATGATTCCATCTTCCAGAAAGGTATTTTGGATGCATAAAAAAGAAAAGCTGCTTCATCTTTGTTTGAACTCATCGAGTAGCACTGATGTTTTATAATGGTACACTTTACATGTTTGGAATCTCAGCTTTATATACATTCGTCCCCTAAGCGCTAAGTGAGCAGGAAGGAAAACAACAGTGATATGATGACAGTGCAATACAATGTAAATTTCGGACCCCTTCCTCTTCCCTTAGTTTGTTGCAGATGATGTTATGGTTATATTCATCTTGGCAACAAATAGGGGTGTCTAGGATACACGTTTCGTCCTACTTAAGACTCATTAGCTGGATGTATCTGCACCCCAGTGAGCGATGGCGTTCTCACTGAGACTTGAACCCAGTACCTATCTCTTCGGATGCCAATTCACAATCCACTTGGACACTGGGTCACGAGGGCCAACTCTTGTCCAACCGGTATGACCAAGATTAATGCAACATCATGAATCTCCGATAGTATCAAGGCATCCGCATAAGAGCCCATCTGCCAACAGAGGTTTTGTATAGTAAAGAGAGATTGCAAGTATCAAAACAATAATATTGTAACTTCTCGTTGTGTATTATCCATCCTTATAACCTATGTATGATCTGGAAGGGGATTTTAAGAAGGTTAACGTGTAGACTTCATTGCATGTTTGTTAATAAGTTTAGCAAACTAAGGCTGATCTGACATAGTAACCTGTGCATTCACCATGACACTGCATATTCTTTAAAAGTTATACAGAATCCCAGTTGTTTCTTTTTTTGTCAGGTTGAAAGACTAAGAAGTATTCGAACTGCACTTATTAGTTATGTCAACTAACTACATTATTATGTTAGTTAACCAGTGAAATTTGTTCTTACAAAATAAATGAAAGAAAAATAAAACTTTTAGATGATGATTTAAACGTATTTTATAATGCCTTGTATCATGCTTAAAAGCAGGAAATAATGAAGGTCGGTTTCGCTATTTTCAGAGATTTATCAGTCAGATTTGAGACACGGCTCCAGAAGTATATAAAAAACACAGTCAATTCACTAACTGCAGATTTATCAAGTCCGACTCAGCAGACTGATGTTTTCGAGATAATCTCACTTCATGGCTCTCTAATATTTGTTTCTGATTGCAATGATGGTCGGCCACATCATAGGTTAATTAGTTAGTTGCAGAAATCTTGAATTTTGACTAAAACACCAAAGAAATGTTACCAATTTAGTGAGTGAATGACGCTTAGAGATGATTTCAAAGAGTTTCAATTCATGGAAATCGTCTTTAAATTATTCACCCAGCCAAAATCTGAATGAATGCAGATGATTATATCAAAAGGAGTAAATATGCAACGAAATATTAATATATATAAAAACGAAACTAATAAACAACTCACCAGTATGTTCATATTTATGTCTAGATAATGAACTATGCTTTGAAAACACTTTTTGGCATTGATCGCAAGTGAAAACTTCTCCATTTTTGATTCCATCGTTACAACCACTGCCGTCAGCACAATTCACACTGTCATTGAGGCTGATATGACTACTTTCTCTTTTGCCTAAACTTTCAGTAATACTAAGAGTATCCAGATGACTACTGCTATTATTAATGTCAGTAAATTTAACAATCCCAGTAGCAGCGCTCATATTATCATCGTTATCTTCAAAATCTGTGAACACATTTTCGACATCCGCCGGCTAAAAATCAATAAACACAAGAAGGATCTTCATAAAGACTTTATATAACTCCCAGTGTAATGAAGGCACTAACAGGTTTCATCTGCTTAAAGATAATGACTCACTACTGTACATCACTGGATAAAGACAAACATTTGACATTATTCTTCCAATAGATAGTCATAAAGATATGATATATTTCACACAGACGATGGTAACCTCATTGTTTTCAGTTGATACACTATTCAGAGTAAGATAATATCAGTGGTCAATAGAATAAAATAAAAAAAATTCAGTGATGACATTTTTTAAGCTATAAGGTTACCTATAGAAGATAGTTAGTCCAAAATCCTTTTTCAATAATATATCACGAATTTAGAGTAGATCCAAATGCTTCAGAAGATTTCATCAATTTGTAATTCAATGCTTTGGCTATTGAGGTACTTGGTTATAACAAATCGAGTAAGGAAAAAATGCAGACTGGAAATTTTAATAAAAGTCAAATTAGTTCTACACCCTTAGCAAGTAAAAGATTTAGTCTTTTCGAGCACCACTGCTAGTAAGCCAAATTTCTTTTATCTGAATTAAACTTGAAAGAAAATAAACTTCTACATTTTAATCAAATTAGAATTCATCATATGATAGATTTTTGTAAGAATAGAATTATTTTAAGATGTGTAGTAAGTGGTATTACACAGAGCTGTCAGACACACTACAGTTTTGCATGAAACCAGAAGAATATAAGAATTCTGACTGTTACATTTATTTTTGGCCCAATAATTTCTACTTTAAATTAGAGTGGTTTTCTTAGCACTTTTTGCCTACTGTCATTCATGCAGTTTTCACCATCATTGTTAGTGGGATTGCTTTTTCTAAGCCGACTAGTAGCATGTGAGTATAGACCATATAGTTAAACTGCCATCTGCCATCAAAATCTGGTGTCAGTTAACTGGTATTTGATTCTAAGAGCAGATTTTAGAGTGAATAAGTACAACGTGTACCTGATTGCTTCAAACGCAAAGGGGTGGAACAGTCATCTAGTGTGTTAACTCAAGAGGAATTGACCTGTAACATTATTTTTCATCTGAACAGCAATGAATCTGTCGATAAGATTTTTGTGAAACTCAAACGATCAAAAGGCTACTGTGTTTTCGGTTGCTTTTCAATGTATAAAAAACATTTGTTTTGTCATCATATCATAAGTAGTTTAATTAGGGTTAATCAACCCTGATTTCATCAAACTGAATGAATCTTGGCCAAGCTTCTGTAGTTTATTATTTTTTAAATGCAAATTACGGCTGTACCACTTCAGTGTTCGTTATATCATGCATACATTTTAATGATAATTATGGCGTAGGTGAAGTTGATTTGAACACAAAGCTTATATTATTAAGATTGGACTTAGTCACCCGTCTGCAACTATTATACTAAGTTGTTCGATGCTTTGATAAGTCATTAACGAATACTCCTGAAAAGATGTAAATTACTATATAAACATTCAAAACTAGAAATAGTTTAGTTAACTCCTAATCATTAGTTATTTATCAAAGTGATAAAATTTACCATATGTATTTGACTGTTTACTCTCACTATAGGTTCAACATTTTGTCATCATACACTACTTCCTACTTACTTCATTTCCATTTGTATTGAGAGACATTTTTACTGGGGTTATAACGAACAGAAATATTCATCCATACGGATGAATGTTTTACAGTATTCAATCTACTGCCTTTTAAAAACGGATATGCAGTGCATGCGTAAAACGGCAATCTGTTTAGTGTTGCTATATTTAATGAATTCTTGTTGTATGTGGATGATGTCTGGAACATTTTTCTGCAAACCTGAACTCAAAAGAAATTCGAATTGATAGGCTATTGATCTACCTGCCTATAGACTCAGCTAAGACACCCTTAAGACAATTAAGTTCAAATTTTCCGTAAGTTACCACGTATCAATAAAAGTTTGCAAAACAGATCATTTACTCAACAGTTGCCTTAAAGTTAGTTTGAACAATAACACCAAATGAGAATGTGACATGGTTATGTAACAACATATAAGGGAGACGACTTACTTCTACTTCATCATTCCCCATGAAACTCATCTTTGTACATATTTCCATACTTGATGGATTCGTTGTGATTGGATTTTTAATTGTAGGGGGTAGTTAAATTCATCAGGTTGGTAATCATAATCTCCATCACTATCATTTCGATTCATATAGTTATTATTACTATTATTATTAACGTTATACATCAGGCTTTTCTCAAATGCATGTGTCCAAAGAGGTTTATCAGCTGACACTAAGTTAGACAACTGGGACATATCATTGGCTGAATTCTCATGGAATTGTTCAGAATTCTGATATGGACAATTACTTTCATTAGATTGTCTGGATAGAAAATTTACAGCGGCAGCAGCTGCAGCGGCAGCTGCCACAATTGTCATTGTTGATGGTGACCATAAAGAATTTGATGAAGTACAAATATAAGATTGGTGAAAGGTTGAATGGCCTGAATTCAAGCTTTGTTCATGAGATGTTTGCGGGGATAGTCGCGGTAAGGACAAGTCTAAGGCTTCTTCTTCTCCATCTTCCTTTCCTTTCTCCGCTTCATCTTTTACTTCTTCCCCTTTTTGCATACAGGACATCGAATGTATCATCATTGTTGCTTGTGGCAGTACTCGTGTGGTTAATGTGGAGAATGAGTTCATTTTCTGTTGTTTGGGCTGAAAAAATGATAACGCGTTTGAATGCCTGTACAAGTCGTTATGAGGCACATTACAAAGGACATGTTTCATCACAGCGTCTACCGACAGCTGAGGTAATATCACAGAAGGATCATAACGAAGATTTTCAGATGGGCAAAGAGTTGATGAAAAAGTTGTAACACTCGTTGTTGTTAAGGATGATAAAGTGCCAAATACGTTTGAACGTGACATCGAAGGTGAAGATGATAAGGATGATGACAAGGACGATGATGATGATAAAGGTGATGAACAAGTAACTAGGGATAAGGAACTCAAAGCGTTATCATCTACTTTATCATATAATATTTGTGTTGAACAATTGCTATACTCATGGTTAAGACTGTCAGTTAGATATTTTGATCGACAGGTAATTAAATCATGGTTACTTACTTGGGGTATTGGTGAGAACGGGATGAAATTGCCGGTATGCTGAGTAAAGTTGTTAGGAAGTGCAAAAAAGTCACGACAGCCTTCAGATGGATGATGTTGTCCCTGGTATAGATATTGTTCACTCGTATACATACCTTCAAAGCAATGCTCGGCAATTTCTGGTTTTAAACCAAGTTTTACTGGTGTATTTATTTCCAATATAGATTTGGGAGATTTATTCAGATAATTATGAATGTTCCCTAGTTCTTTCCATTTTTTATTTACTGGATATAAGTTATCAACTTCATCACTAGTGGGTATAGCATCAGCAGCAACATTGGTGCCATTATGCGTAATACGTTCAACGTTGTTTAAATATTGGTCATTTAGACTGGACAAATCGTTGGGATAGTAGCTATCAAGTTTATAGTTACTCAGTTTGGCAAAGTAGTCCGAACTGTTTACTTGAGTAACTGACTCCAGAATACTAGACACTGAACTCAGTTCCATGTCTTCTTTTATATGATTACCATCTGCAATATCATGTTTTATAGTTGCTAAATCTAACTTATCTCCGTGCATTCCAAATGGTGGTGAATACCGACCTGTTCTGTAGGAAGACATCTGACTTGCAAACGAATCTCTACTCATAGGTGTCAGTGAATGTACTGCATTATTGTTGTTTTTGCTCATATGACTGTTGGTTCTAGCATTACTTATAATTACCATATTAGCGTTTCTGTTATTGCAATTATCCATAGTTCTAATACATTTTTTACTAGACATATGACTTGAATATGATCCAGAGTGACTGAAACGTTTGCCACAGTGCAAACACATAAATGGTTTTTCACCACTATGGATTCTTTCATGTTCTTTCAAATGATGTTTAAATTTAAAGGCCTTTGAACATTCTGAACAACGAAATTTGCGCAGTTCATTACTTTCTGTATGACTAAGCAGATGTCTGTGTAAACGGTAAATGTTAGCAAATTGTTTACCACATTGACTACATGTTGGAGTATTCCGTAAAGGTGAACTGATTTCTTCAGTTGATTGTTGTCTCTGTTGCTTTGATGGCTTAGTATGCTTTTCCTGTGAATCGTCATCCAATTTTGTTTGAATAGGATAACTAGTTAAAAAAGCATTTCGCTGATATTCTTCTTCACGTTGATATATTTCCAGTGATGCAACTGAGCACCAGCCCATTTGCTGTGATACCAACTGGGTAGAAAGTTTCATTTCGGCATCTAGATGGGATGATGTACTCTCTGTGCTACTATCTAATTCTTTCGAAGGTGGTTCACATGATAATGATGACGACGTTGAGGAAGAAGCAGTGACCAAATTCGTGGGTGGTGATGGAAAGAGAAACGAAGGACTTGTCGTTCCAACTGACATAAGAGGAGCTATATTTTTTAAAAATTCACAAATTTCTGTTGTGTAGTATTGACTTGGTTGATCTGAAAAATTGTTAGATGTAGATTTTAAATGGTTTTTATCATCCTGAAGACAAGTTATAAGTGGAAGGAAAAGTGAATTAAATGATATCAACTCAACACCATGATTACGAAGCAAAGCTTGTGAATTTATCGAAGACATACAAACATTCATCCAAGTAAATAAGGTGTGATATTTTCATAGTGTGTACTTTCTGTTCCATTGGTTTTCTCTCCGCATCCCTTTTTCATATCAAGGTAGGCCCTATGTTTTTCTCTTTTTCAAATTCTACCCACACATCCATCCTACCTCCACCTGGTGAAACAGGTTACATTTCACCTACCATTTTTAAAGCTTAGGATTCTCAGTGGTAATAGTAGTTAGATTAATAATATAAATACTGTGTCACGCCCCCACACATGCAAACCACTAATTTTCACGTGGGCAAATAAGCTAGTCTAGCATGTAGAAGGGTTTTCTCATTTGTATCCATATATGCATCTATTCTAATCTATTCAACCAATTACGAACCAGGTGAGACAGTTGTATCTCAAGGTTTCATGTGTATTTTTCTAGCCTTCGAGGAGAATTGGAAAACTGTTTACAATCTTTTCTGCTTAATACTTGAACATATGAACAAACGTAAGAATAAACTGAGAGTATGTATGCACGTTAATGGAAGTGCTACTGAAAAACTTTCAGTTTAGATACACCTGTTGACAACAGCATTCGAAGCAATATTAGAGGATCAAAAATGAAGAAATGTAGGCTGGTAAGGAAGACAAACAAAGAAGGGGGCTCGAAGATTCAGGTGTGAAAAAGGACCAGTGTTAATATGCTGAAAATCTCAGGCTTAACCTAACATAGATTACCCAATCAGAAATTACTACTAAAGCAGAAGGCTAATCATGTGTGATAATCAGCTTTTGTATTTTTGAGATGAATGGGGATTTTTAATTTAGAAGTAGCATTCATCATGGACTGACATCAGTTGGGGAACCATTGAAAACCTGAACCACTGGAAACCGACCCAGTAGCTGAATGGTTAACGCGTTCGCTGTGAAGGCTGAAGTTCCTGAGTTTGACCCCCAATCGGGTCATGGGTGCGAACTGCTGAGGAGTCCCGTACTAGGACGAAACAGCTGTCCAGTGCTCCCGGGTTTTCAACGGTTCCCCAACTGATGTCAGTCCATGATGAATACTACTTCTAAATCAGCTTTTGGTCTCTCAGTTTCCTTCAAGTGAACAAAAGTGACTTGTGTTGACAGTGTATGTTCTGTGTGGAGATTTGAACAGTTTTTTGGAGGATGTGAATATCATTTCAATATTTTTTGTAGACTGAAATTATTTGGTCAATTATCATCAAAGATGCAATACTGGAGATTTTATCTTCATCCTTGTTTGAAGCTCTTCAGTGGGGTTCATATCCAGTGCCGTACGCAACAAGACCCACAGTCTCTGAGATGAAACGTTGAACAATTTGTCTGTGAAGCACCACATTTAGTTCCATTGGTAAGCAACTTTCAAATTTAATCAGTACAGAAATCACCGAACAGCTAGTTCTATTCTGTTTACTTCATTTAGGACAGCTCTACCATAACGGGTAAGTTTTCCAAACCCACTCAACAGTTTTGGCTTTCATGATTTTAGTCTGATGGCTCATTTATGCCAATTATAAACTTATAACTTGCAGTTTTTCTATCCAAAAGCAACTTATTTAGACACTAGCCTGTTAACTACTTATCAGTAGTGAACTCATTGTCTGAAAAATCTTAGAGCTGATGCCATAAAAGTGCCAATAATTCCAAGTAATAAACCCCAAAGCAACCACCTGATTCGTTTAGAAAACTGATTGTTTTGAAGGTATCACATACATATCTACTTCAAAACAACGACTTCAAAATATCTTAGAGTTTTCTAGAAGTAATTTAAAATTTCCCATTGTAACATCAAGAACAAGATATTCAGCGAAGAGACTCTTTTCAACGAATTTATTTTCAAGCTGTACAATCGTATATATATGATATTTAGAAAAAATTATATCCGGTGAGAAAAACTAAACACTACATCCGCTCTATTATTATTGTCATCACCACGTAGTGTTTAGTTTTCCTCACGGGATATAATTTTTTCTAGAAGTCGCTGTTATAAACTCCCGAAGATGAGCGGCAAATGCCTACGATACATACCACTGATCAACCTGAGTAGCTGTAAACCACTCATGAAATGCAGTAATGCTCATTAACCTGATCGACGTGGTCTATCAAAGGCCTTATTTTCTCAAAACTGAACATAACCCAAGGGAAAAGTAAGCGTCATAGATCTATTTGGTACGCCAGAAAGTGGAGCAACTGTACAATACTTGAAAGATTTTGTCAGCAGTCAAACACCATTTAATGATATCTTGTTTCCCATTTTCTTTCAGCTTAAACAGATTCATGGAAGTTGTCTTCAAAGAAAACGACATTTCAACCAGTCGGTGTTCGTATTAGTAATATCACAATTCTATTCGCCGAAGAAAGCTTTGCACAGATAAAGGTCAATGAAGATTATCAGCTGTGTTCGGGATAGCTCTGAACTTGGGACTTTAAAATACTTATTTTAGGGAATATCATATTTAAAGGTGATTGTGTTTTACATCACCTGATTTGAATTTATTTCGACTGCAGAAAAGTGTAAATGCTATTCTGTGTACTTATTTGTTTATTTATTGTCATGTTAATGATTATAGTTGTACTTTATGCCATTGAGTTTTCTCTCTAGTTTCACTGCAATTCAGTAAACAAGTCAGGACAGTTACGGTTTAACGAGGGTGTTCATTAATAATGTTATTTTCATTACTCTTTGAATTAACCTTTGTGTGAAACAGGCTTAAAACTACTTTCTGCCTAGATGATATTCACATACTGAATTAGAATCACTAACCTTTGAATTCACATATCTCTGTCTCTATGTATTGCAAACATATGTAAGTGATGTTTCCACACACAGGTATGTGAAAATAAATGTGTCAAGGTGAACTACGTTGTCATATTCTTTACATGTCACAAATACAATGAAGTGAATTAAAATATTCTCCTGATGAATGTCTTGACTATTTTATTGTAGGTCGCAATTGTTAGGATAAATTTATGACCAAGTTGCTTTAAAGATAAAGTATCCTGTCAGTACATTTAATTTGAGGAAAGACATCCACTGTGTCGTGGGTAAATAGCACCAAAAGCTACGTATAGTATATTGTACTATTTAACGTACTATTTTAGCAAATTTACTTTTGTGGTACCACAACTTTCCTTCTATATTGCATACTGATTGGTATAGTCGGTATCATCTTGACCATTCAGACAACCCTAATCACATTCATGAATGGCGACTAGAAGTGGCAATGACGAGTAGTTTAATCCAAGATGCCCATTCCAATCTCATTTCGCACACAGCTAGAATAAGGGAAGATGACTTTAAGTCACAACGAGATCTCCAATGCAAACCTATTGATACTCGAATAACGAAGCTATAAATGGTGGAAACGAATATATGTAGTTCTATTGTTCACCACTACTAAACAATAAAACAAAATAAAATTGAAGGTGACGAAAAGTCTGAGTTGAAAGCTATGATATTTAATCGGAAACGAGTTGATTTGACACTGCAACTGATGCCTATAAAGTTCAGTCTCATTTCAAGTACTTAACAGTTCATGAGCTCGTTTGATATTGATTGTTAAACAAATGTCCCTAATGTTTGGAAGTTTCCTGGTTTATTTCCCCAACTATCAAGGTGTGAATATAGTTGTTTATAAATAAAACAGTAAAATTAAATGATTTCACGATAAGGAACTACTCATTTCATCATGGAATTTATAACGTATGCACTGGCTGATTGGATGCCTGTGACTTTTCAAACTAGTCAAAATCGAACCATGAATTGTCAAGGAATTTCATTTCCATACTGAATAGCAGGCCTTCAGAAATGGACCAAAAATGCAGCAAATTAACTAAAGTAAGATAGTTACAGAGAAGTAATTACAGTAAGCTTAAAAGAAATTGGTCATCATAGTCACTATATGCAGATCAAATTTTCCAGAATAAGAAATTCGGTGTGTTGCATAACATATCAAAACTGTAAACCATGTATATAGTTAGATTATTACACCTAGTTAGCTGGATTTATTGGGTTTTCCGTGACCTAAAGGAAGCTTTTTTCGCTTAGTAGTTTTAGCTGATATCATTCATCACTGAAGCATGGAACCTTAAAATTAGACTTTTCATGCGGCTTCTTATGTAATGAGCGCACAAGCTGTTATACCCAGAAATTATGCCTTCTTAAAGTTTTGAATCAATGCTGTTCGGTGTGGCCATTACTGATCACGGGGTATGCTTCGCAGATCAGGGACTCATTGGTATACTCTGTAAGTAATACTAAAGTGGGAATATTATCTAGACCATGAACCCGAAGAAATGTTACTGAGAAGTGAACAGTAAGAATTCGATAGCTGTGGGTTTGACCAAAATATCAAACTGAAAATAGACTTCCAGTTTTTGATGGCTTTTGTGTATTGAGCGTTCATACAGAAAAATGTTAAAATTGTAAAGGGATGTGAAATTAATTTCATCAAGGAAATAAGGCGAAAATTTTGTTCATCTGTACCCAGATTCACATTCACAAGTACTTTTAAGACGTTTTCCATGTGTCTGATCACATTTCTTGCATTATGAAAAAAAGAACATATTATTGTTGAGTCGAGTTATCGTTTGTCTTGTATGAATATTTAATTATATAAGAAACTAAAATCTGATGAACAGGTTAGGCGGGACGGTAATTATTCATGTAATTACGGCAACTGAATGAAGAGAAAACAGATTTGTCACTGAACGGCAATCAATTTAGTTCTCTTACTCGAAGGGCTGATCGAAGTTTATCTACCGATTTCCCTTGGAGTATTTTATTACATCTTTAACGTTATGCATGATGAAAGAGAACTCTTGGATTTATGTATAGGGGCTTTTTTGGTACTCATCAGCAAGGTACTTATGAAAAATCCTAGAAAAGTTTGTCTTACCTAGGAGATGAGAACTTGCGTTACATAATTCGGAAATAATCGTCATTACTACTAATCTATTAAGACTACTAATGACTTGTAATGAGGTTTACCATAGTTATTTATTATTAGAAAATCCAAGGGAAAAACAACGTCAACTGAGGATTAATTGGATCGATATTCACCAACTTCTAATCGATAAAGTGCTTTATCTATTCATTTTCGAAGGATCGCCGACAGATCATTACACTTAATTCATACGTATCTGAGAGCAATATATGATGCATAATATA